CAATTTCTGTATCAGTCAGGCCCAGCCTTTTCCCCTTCAATTTAAGGAACATCTTGTTCACATTCTATCCAACTCTCTCTCTCTTCTACTACACAAGACCCTATTTCTTTTGAAAATGTGGGCTTCTCTCGAAGCCCTTGTTCTCGCCCACATGCGTCACCTTCAGTGTTACTCAACCAGTCGAGCCTCATTCAAGAGCCCTTAGATGCTCCTATTACCCTGCCTTCCCACCTATAGGTTGACTTTGTTTCGTGGTTGAATCAGACCAATACTACCATCGGAGTTCCTCTTCCACTTGCTCGACCAGACTGTCATCTTTTTACAGATTCTTCCGTTTCAAGTTCAGATACATATCTCAGTGTTCAAGAGGTTTTGGGTTGTTAGACACTGGCCGATTTGTTCCTACATATCAACGTCTTGGAGTTAGTGGCAATTCATCATACTCTGCTTCACTTCTTGTCAGATTTTTGGGAGCTTTCAGTGATGGTGCACTCCAACAATTTCACAGTAGTGTTTTATATCACCAGGCAATGGAGTACTAAGTTGCAAGGTCTTTGTTTTCAAACATTGAATCTCATCTAATGGGCCCACAATCATCACACCAGATTGTTAGCATGTCATATTCTGAGTGCCCTGAATCTGGTCACGGACCAATTATCTCAGCCAAACAAGATTCTCTTATCAGACTAGTCCTTAGATCCACAGATGTTTCAGGAGTTATGTACTAATTGGGGTATTCCAGATGTAGATGCTTTTGCCACACATCTCAATACTCAACTTCCCCATTTTTGATCTTCTAATCCTCATCCTTTGGCAGAAACTGTAGATGCTCTCATTCCAAACTGGAATCAGCATTACCTGTATGCATATCCTCCTATTCATCTCCTTCTCAGGGTTCTTTAATAGATTCAGACCACTTTATGTCATGTGCTCCTAGTGGCTCCATTTGGTCTGCTCAGACATGGTTTCTACTTCTGTGCAAGCTTTCAGTGTCACCTCCACTTCCTTTGTCATTGTGTCCTATGCTCCTTCGTTAACCTCAATTGGTCAGGAATCATCCATCCATTCTCACCCTCTGGCTTTATGTGTGGCTTTTGTCTGGTCCGTTGCCATACAATCCTGAATTTCCAGGCATGTTACCTCATTGATTGTCTGCTCTGTACGTCCTTCCTCTTTGGCAGTTTATCCACATAAATGGTATACTTTCCCCTCCTGGTAACTCTGCTGAGGATATCATTCTTCACAACCTTCCCCAACCACAATTGACTGCATTTTTTACTTGGCTCTTCGATAGGGGACTGTCAGTTCCCTCCATTGCTAGCTGTCAAGCTGCATTATCTTCCACGTTCAGATTTACAGAGTTTGCCTCTGTCTTCCACTCTCCTATGTTGTCTTTGGTATTACATTCATTTTACCTTTTCCCATCCTTCACGCCCTGTGTCTCCAGATTCTAATCTCAGTGTTGTCCTTCATGCTCTCACTCTTACTTTGTTTGAACCTTTATCTTTGTGTTCCCTGTATCACCTTTGATTAAATTAAAATTTCTCATATTATTGGCTTGTGGCAATCTGAGATCTTTGTGATTGATGCTCATCATCTGCTGTTCCACAGTTCTTATGTTCTCCTGTTCCCTGACTGTTCATTTTTGCCCAGTACTTCTGCTGCTGGGGGGATGTAATTCTACTTTTTTCTCCCATTTCATTATCCTCCATTTCCCACCTGTATGACCTTTCTGATCCTGACCATCTCCTGTGTTCTATCTGGGCCCTTTGATGGTATCTGACTTTCACTGCTCCTTTCTGTGGTTCCCATAACCATTTGTTTATTCCATATGGGAATCCTTCTGTGTTCTGGGACCTCTCTCGCATTACCATTACAAGTTGGATTTGCCAGTTAATTAAGCAGGTGTATTCTTCCCTTTTGCCTGAGTAGTTTTGCCTTGTTAGGTTATCTTCTTATCAAACTGTCACCTCATCATGTCCCTGGCTGTCCATTTCCATTTTTCTCTGGAAGTCATCATCTGGGCCAGTGTGTGGACTACAAATCATACCTTTGTTTCACATTATTTACATCTTGTGGCTGTTTTTCTTGCTCAGTGGGTTTTTATGTACCTCCAGTCACCATCTTAAAAACTGTGGTGTCGTTATGGCTAATGAGTACTATGTTTTTATTTACAGGGACCTTTTTTTGCTAGTGTATTGTGGATCCTACTCTGTAGCGAGTGGTGCCTGACTAGGCATACCTTTTTTTTTTAATCTACACTGTCCATCCTGTGAACATGCTCAATATCAGTTACACTGTAGCTCTTCCTACTGCGGACCTGATGTACAATTCCAGATGCTGCCTGGTGTTGGTTGTGTGTTTCTGTTCAATTGTTATCTATGCTGAAACAATTACATTGCAAGATTAGATTATGCACATTGTAAAGATGGGGTGTTTTATAGGACCACTAGTAGTTCTCACTAGTGGTTATTTACTTCATAAATATATTCGTTCCAGACCGTACACTCATAGACACGTACGAGTAAAGCAGACCGAGATTGCTGCCGATCTCTGATGCTCCATGGCATTGAGACTCTTCCTACCATAGACCTGATGTACAATTCCAGATGCCGACGGATGTTGGTTGATTGACTCCATCGATGTGGTAGCTCTGCTTTTCAAAATAAGATGTCGTGGTGACCTGTTGCACTGTCTCCATTCCCCCCCCTTTTCTTCTTGTGTAGTATGGGAGTCCTTGCCAGTTACCAGTTCTTAGCTGCTGGGGTGGTGGACCATGGAGACCTGCCCTCCTGAGTGATGCATCATATCAGTCAGTTGTGAGTAGGGTAGTGGCATTCTGTGGTTGTTGATGGTGTTTAGCACTTCCTATCGCAGACCTGATGTATAATTCCAGATGCCACCATGTTGTTGTTTTAGCACTATGACATATATATATATATATATAGAGAGAGAGATGGCCAGATTATGTCTAGAATTGTGTGTCGATGATGAGATGCCCTTCTTACTGCAGACCTGATATACAATTCCAGATGCTGCCAGGTTTTGGTTGAAAAACTCTGCCAAGTCACATGTGTATGTATGTGTGTGTGTGTGTGTATATATATTGCAGTTTGCCTCCTTCCTACTGTGGACTGCATGAAAAATACCCCCACCCCATGCTGCCAGTGTTTGGACTGGAGATGCACCCTAGGTTTGTGGTCCCTCTTCGTATTGTCTGCTGGATGTTGTTTTCCAGCAAATTTGATGTTGGTTGTAGTTGGATGCAGCAAATATACTCCCACTTTGCACAGTCACGTATCCTCCTCCTACCATGGACTAGAAGAACCATACCAAATGTCATCCCACCAGAGCTTTCAACCTTCCTATCATCTGTTGCATGTCGGTTCATGGTGGATCAGGGGTTGGTTGGGTTGAAAATGCATGCAAGTGGAGATGGATTTTGGTATGGAAGCCCATCTTCCCTACTGATTCTTATTTAGAGGTGAAAAGGTAGGTGAGCCTCGGCCTACTGCACAACTGATGTACAATTCCAGGTACTGCCAGGTGTTGGATGAGGTCGAAATACCACTATGGTCTCTTGCGTCCTAGCCACTCGACACCCAAGAGTCCCATTAATCGGTAATTCGTATTATGGGATTCCTTCATTTTTTTTCTGCCTTTTATGTTCTCGACACAGTCATAAAAGAGCGAAGAGTATACCTAGATCAGATGTGATGCAGTCTTCTGCTGAGGTGAGATATTATCTTCTTTTGGTTCCACACCTCATGGTCTCTCTTTGGGTGCTTCCTCAATGGGGGAATCATTTTTCAAGTAAGATATAATCTCGGAAGTTAACATTTTTCTAAACTGAAAATGTATTACCGATAGATACTTACCTCTTCTTACATTTCCAACCCAGTCTTCTCACTTCCAGTGATATGTGGTGTAGGTCTTCTGACAAATCTCGAAGTGATTAACGAGTGCAAATGTCGAGAGGGTGCTGGTTATTTCATGCCCCTATTGGTGGAGAGCTGCTGCATAATCATTTAGATGTAGATATACAGAAGTTGAAGGTGGAAGGCTAGTGGCGAGCATTGAAAATCTGTGCAGATAGAGGGCAATACGAATTAAGAAAAGTTATTTTGTGAAAAGAGGTAAGATATCATATCAAAAAACACTATTACTTTGATCACTAAATACTCAGCATATTGCAAGTTTATAAATTTATTCTTATAAATAACATGGCCAGGTGATTAGGGCGCTTGACTTGCAATCTGAGGGTTGCGGGTTTGAAGTCCCGTACCACCAAACATCCTTGCCATTTTAGCTGTAGGGGCATTATAATGTGATGGTCAATCCCACTATTCAATGGTAAAAGAATAGCCCAAGAGTGGGTGGTGATGACTAGCTGCCTTCCTTTTAGTCTTTTAATGCTAAATTAAAAATGGCTAATGCACATAGCCCTCAAGTAGCTTTGCACAAAATTCAGAACAAAACAAACCAATCTTATAAATAACCATGCTTCAAACAGCAGTTAACTCTTAAATGTTTGTATGAGAAATTAAAAACTAGTAAAAAATACTGATTTCTTTTTAATCAGATTACAATAGTTTAACAAAACATTGATTTACAAGCCAAAATATCCATTGTCTGCAAGGACACTTTATGCTGCTGAATTTCATGGGCAGTTTTACAGAGTGATATGATCAGTTACCTCCTATTTCATTGAAAAATATACACTTCACAAAATAATTCAAAATTTGTAAACATCTCTCCATCCCCATTTATGTGCATGCCAACTTGACTGGTGCCTTACTATCTCATATTTTCAAAATTGATAGGCCTGTTCTCATGGTGTCTTTAGAATACAGCTCGAGTTGAAGAGCAATAGAAAACTGTCAAACAAAAGGAGAGAAATTCTGCTACTGTTTTTTACATCAGATTAATGAATCCAAGTTTAAATAAACCTGGAGACCAACATTGAATAGTAATGAAGGTAGTGTTCCAGTGTGAGTTTGTTTTAATTTAATTCAGAGGACTTGTCCTGAGTGCTTGTGTATGCATGGCTTAGATGCTGTGCCCCACCTGTATGTGCTCCACCTTTTCCGTATTCATGGCGTGTTAGATCCCACTTTTATCCCCATTTTCTTGT